TCTTTGGGTGACACAAATTCTCTTTTATAGTGGAGAGGCCAAGTGATCGGGCTCAAGTGCAACAGTCCCATGGTCGGGGCCGAGGCTAAATATAGTCCAGGTCTGAGTTAAAATTAGCACCATTCCCAACCTTGGGATACGAACAGCCAGTCTTAGGTAGCCGAACAGTCAGCCCCACGCTATTCTTAGCACTGGACTGTGGCAGGCCCAGTCACAAGTAAACGAACAGTCAGTCCCATGCTCTGTGCTAATTTTAGAATGGGATTGGGGCAGGCCCAGTCCCAAGTAGACAAACAATCAGTCTCACACTATGAATAGTGTGGGACTGTGTTAATTTTAGCACGGGACTGGGGCAGACCCAGTCCTAAGTAGACGAACAGTCTGTCCCACGCTATCTGTGTTATTTTTAGCACGGGACTGGGGCAGGCCCACTCCCAAGTAGACGAACCGTTAGTCCCACGCTAAAAATAGCGACTGTGCTAATCTTAGCGTGGGAATGGGGCAGGCCCAGTCTCAAGTAGACGAACAGTCAGTCCCACACTAAAAATAGCATGGGACTGTGTTAGCACGGAACTGGGACAGACCCGACTTTGGGAAATGAAGAGTCAGTCCCACGAAAAAAATAGCATGTGACCCCTTTGATTATTGCTAGGGCTCGGTTATTAATTTACGCGGCCGTTTGGGGCTGTTCCTTTTGTGACCGAGTTATGAGGTTGCCTTGGTCCGCTCCCAATCGGTCAAAGTTGATTATCTCACTAACTCTTGGTCCGTTTCAAGTGTTTTTTGGGCCAAGCCCCACTAATTCCCCCCTTGCAGTCACGACGGTCCAGCCCTTGGCGCAAATTTGACATGGCATGGAGGCTGACCACGGCAAGCCAACTTCCGTTGACGCGGCACGTCGACCTCCGACAACGCGACCATGATGAGCGCAATGACCACGGTTGTGTTGATGACAAATACAATGAAGAGCAAAAGGAACAGTCGGATGTTACTCCGCTATTCACCAAAGTGCATAATGAGAATGGATCCTTCGCTAAACCACAAAAAATACATTCCCCTTATTCTCACTCCTTTTCTCATAGCCCCTTCACTAGCGTACCTTCGTAACGTGGTACGTAGAGCCCTGCCTCTTTCGCGATAGGACTCGCCCATCAACTTTGCGATAGGAGTACCCGTCAACTTTGCGATAGGACTGTCCGTCAACTGCGCTATTGTAGCGGACCCACCAGGTGTGGTGCTCCGCTAGTGACAGAGATGGAGATGGAGGAAGAAGGGGGAGCAAGATGGCACAACGCAGCTTCCCACACAAGACTCCAACGCACGTACTCCAAAATGTGCAAGTGAGGAATGAGAATGAAAACAGACAATGGCTGGGGTATACCCCAGCGGACTGACGGGACT